CCAATCCACAAATTGCTTGTTTTATGCCTGGCACAAGGGGATACCAAGAAGAAGCAGGGCAAGGCTGCTCCCCAGATACTGCCCTTGGCCTGCTTCCTTTCTCTACGTTCTTTTCTTTTTTTTGCAAGGCAACTGGGGTTAAGTGACTTGCCCAGAGGCACCCAGCTAGGAAGCATTATGTGTCTGAGGTCGGATTTGAACTCAGGTCCTCCTGACTACAGGGCCGGTGCTCTATCCACTGCTCCACTTCTACATTCTTTTCCTTGAGACCCCATCCACTGTTATGGCTCTAATCATAACACCCATGCAGTTAATACTATTCCTGATTAATTTGCCACTGGTGTCCTGTCCAGTTCTTCCAACTGTCCACCATACATCTGCAGCATCTAAACCTTGGAGGTCTCCCTAGCACCTAAACAGAAAGAGCACAGACTCAGGAGTCATAAGACCTGGGTTCAAATCCAGCCTCTAGTGCTTACCAGCCCATGTGACCTTGAGAAAGTCACACTTGGTATTGACTATCAATACAAATAACTAAGCGGGCTTAGTAACTAACTATTCACATGTAAATTAATTTTGCTGCATAAGCCATTATAACTTCTTAGCCCTTTCCTTCTGTCACCATGAGGACTCGCGGTTTGTCCGTTCATCCCTGGGTTTTAGTTTCCTTCCCTGTAAAACAGAAGATCGGACCAGATGGCTTCCGAGGGCCCTTCTTACTGCTAAGTCAGCGAACTTCCTCATTTCTGGAGAAAGCGCAGTCATCTCCCCACCTGCTTCTCAGGAAGCTTTTCATTCTCCCCTATTCCTTCTCCTACATGTCACTACTACACAAATCAGACTCTAACTTGCCCATTGCTCTCCTCACCACACTTGGGCCCCCATTTCCTCCCTTTCCCCACCAGAGCATTGGCCTCCACCGCTGGGCTCACCAGCTGTGATAGATACGCCTTCATGCCACTTCCTGGCCATTTCTTCACTCTTTTCTATTTTAATTCTCCTCCCCTTGCTTTCTCACACCCTTTGATATGTTTTTTTTCCCTGTTAGAATATAAGCTCCTTGAGGTCAGGACTTGGTCTAGTCCTCCAAGATCACAGGATCAAGGAGCCATGAAAGGGACCTTAGCAGTCATCATTTTACAGATGAGTAAACCAAGGCCTAGAAAGGTAAGGTATTTGCCTGAGGTCCCCCAGGCCATGAGTGTCGGATCCAGCATCTTTCCTACCGTACCACACACCTTTCACCTCTGAGCTGCCCCCTCCCACAGGACCCAAAGACAACCCCAGGGGAGCTTTGTATTGTCTCCCTAATGCTCAGGATAGTGCCTGGCACATAGCAAGCACTTTTAATCATCCTTTTTTTTCACTCACTTATTCATTGGGAACAATAGTAATTGTGTTTTAGGGTTTACGCAGACACTGAATTTCAGTGGGAAGAAACCTCCGCAGCCATCCAGTGAACAAGAATGCTCTCTATCACATGACATGACTGATAAATATTCATTCAACCTTTGCCTAAAGACCTCCAATGAGGGAGAAACCGCAACTTTTAAGAGCCTTCCTAGCTCCAAATCTATGATCCTAAATCTCAGAAGATTTTCATGTGGACAAGACTCAGAGAGTCATTAGATCACAGGTTTGAGCCAGGAGAGACTCTGGAGGCCATCTGGTCCAACCCCTCATTCTATAGAAGAGCCTGAGCCCCACAAAGATAAAGCCACTCCTCAAGGTCATACGTAGGGTCACAGACCTAGAACTTGAAGGGGCCTCAGCCGCCATCTGGTCCAGTGTGCACACCAAAAGAATGCCCATTATAATACCCAAGAAGCGATCCTCCAGCGTCTGCTGGAAATGCTCTCAGGAGGCGCACCCACCACCACTCAAGGTAGCCCATTCCATTTTTGGACAGCTCTAATTGATAATAAGTTTTTTCTGACACTGAGCCAAAATTGGCTTTTTTTGCCACTTCTACCCTCTGCTCGTGGTTCTGCCCTGTGGGTCCAAACAGAGCAAGTCCAATCCCTACTCTACAAAAGAGCCCTTCAAATACCTGAAGATGACTATCATGTCTCCCCTGAGTTTTCTCTTCTTCAGGCTAAACATGCCATTTCTTCAACTGATCCTTCAGTGTCATGGACTCCACCACGCTGGTGGCCCTGCTCTTGATACTCTCCAGATTATAAATGACCTTTTAAAAGCTAGACCAGAGGAGTCAAACTTAGTCCAAAACTCCCCAGTGCACCTGAACCAGATTAAAATGTAATTGGGGGGGGCGGAGCCAAGATGGCGGAGTGAAAGCAGTGACTTGCTTGAGGTCTCCCCCAAACCCCTCCAAATACTCGTAAAAAATGGCTCTCAACAAATTCTGGAGCAGCGGAACCCACAAAAAGACAGAGTGAAACACATTTCCAGCCCAAGACAACCTGGACGGTTGACTGGAAAGGTCTATTGTGCCAGGCTGGTAGAGGAGCCCAGTTCAGTGTGGGTCATGAAGGCAAAGATCAGGCCTCAGTGAATGTGGAGCAGGCCTAGGGGATTGAATCCAGGGGAGCTGTGGCGGTTTCTAGACTTCTCAACACACAAACACCAAAGACAACTTAGAAGGTCAGTAAGAAAGGTCTGTTGGACCCCAGGGAGAGAAGTGCTCAGTTGGTCCCCGGTCTTGGCACAGCCCCAGGGTGGCGGCTGCTTCCAAAGCTCTTGGCCCACAGACTGAGGAGGAATCGAGCGGCTGATCAAAGTGGGATTGCAGGGATCTCTCTGCTGGTGGGGTGCTGAGTCAGGATTCTTTTGCTTTGCCCATGCTTGGATCTGGGTCGCAGTCTTGGGTAGCAGTCCTGGGGTGAGGAAGAGTGCTAGTGTGGTGGAGCTTGTGGTGGTGGTGGTGGTGCAGAGAGAATCCTCCTCACGGTTCTAAGGCAGAAAACAGTGCTTCTGGTCACTCACAGACCAGAGCACAGGCCAGGAAAGGAGTAAACCTCACCCTTGATTGTATCACCTTGGAAGAACTGAAAATTTACATAGGTCCCTGGAAGTATCTCTGAAAACAGCTGCACAAAACCTCCAAAGCTTGAGACAGTACATTCTCCACACTGGAAGCAGATCCCTACCTTAACAAAGAGTTTAAAAGTCAAATAATTGGCTGGGATCATGACCAAACATTGCATAAAAAGTCAGGCCATAGACTCTTACTTTGGTGACAAAGAAGATCAAAACATACAACCAGAAGACAACAAAGTCAAAGCTCCTACATCCAAAGCCTCCAAGAAAGACACGAAATCAGTCCCAGGCCTTGGAAGAGATTTTGAGAAGTAAGGGAAGTAGAGGAAAAACTGGGAAGAGAAAGGAGAGTGATGCAAGAAAATAGTGAAAAACAAGTCAACAGCTGGCTAAAGGAGACCCCAAAAAATACTGAAGGAAAAAAACGTAATGGGGAAATGGCCAACAAAATGAAAAGTACAATACAACATAGATGATGTTAATTTGTGGTCTTCAAATATGCGTCCTGCAGGGATGCATTTATATCTGAGTTTGATACCACTGGCCTAGACTGGCCACAAAACTCCACATGAAGTCTGATGAGGACAGAGTCCTTTCCCTAATCCTCGAAGCGATGCCCTTCTTAATGTCCAACAAAATGGCATTAACTTTTGTGGGTGCCGTAGAACACTGCTCACTCATATTGTCGTTCTTGTTGTTTGGTCCTGTCTGACTCTTCATGACCCCACTTGGGTTTTTCTTTGCAAAGTACTGGAGTGGTTTGCCGTTTCCTTCTCCAGCTCATTTTACAGATGAGCAAGCTGAGGCAAAAAGGGTGAAATGACTTACCCAGGGTCACATAGCTAGTAAGTATCTGAGGCTAGATTTGAATTCAGGTCTTCCTGAACCCAGGCCAAGTGCTCTATCTACTGCACCACCTGGCTGCTCCCACTCATACTGAACTTGCAGTATATAATACCTCTTGATTTTTTTTTCTGAATAACAGCTATCTGTTGCAGTCTCTGCCATCTTATATTTGTGGAATTGATGGTTTGTACCCAGCTGCAAGACTTTACATTTAGCTCTACTGGATTTCCTCTTCTCCGTTCAGCCCAATACTCGAGGACTGTGACTCTGTCAGACAGTGGGTTAGCGATCCTTCCCAGTCTGGTGTCATGTCCAGTTTGAATACACTCGACATTTTAGCCTGTCAAGTTCTTTTGGTGATCAGAGAAGAAAAGTGAGGCCGCAGAGTTCTAGCTCTCTGATGACAGAAAGGAGCCCGCCAGGATGAGAAGGGTGTGGTGCTGTAGAAAAGATGCTGGATTTGAAGACGTCCTGGCTCTGACACTAACTGCCTGTGTGATCTTGGGCAAGTTGAGGCACCTCTCTGGGCTCTGTTGTCACCCAACATGTCAGCTTACCCTTTGAGCTTTGTGAGAAATGCAGGTATGACATCTTATTCAAGTCATCGATAAAAACATTAGCGTTAAACAGTTCAAGAGCAAGCACAGATCCCTGGGGCACCTCACTAGGGACCTCTTTACAAGGTGAAATAGAACTATCATGGATTACTCTTTGGGTCCAGTCCTTTGATTAATTCTCAATCCACTTACGTAGCCCAACTCCCTTCATCGTATCCACAAGTATAGCATGTGACTTTGTCTAATTTACAAATCTTTCAGGTTTACAAAATACTTTCCCCACAACAACCCTGTGAGGTAGGTAATTAAATATGATCATCCCCATTTTATAGATGGGGAAACTGAGGCTCTGAAATGTAAAGTAAGAATCAGAGCCAGGATTTCAAACCAAATCTCTTGACTCTGAGTGGACCATGTCCACTTTGCCAGAGCGGAAACAAACATAGCATGGATGTACATTCAGATTAGCCATACCAAATACTGCACTTTTCAAGGGGTGGGAGGTAGGGAGAAGGATGAAGCAGAGGAGACAGGATGGAGTCGGAGCAGTGGGAGACAAGGTGGCAGCTGACGAGATGCAATGAGTGGTTCTTTTACCTTTGGGTGGAGCTCGGCGGTTGGAAAGCCCTTGCAATGTGAATCGCTTTCTAGCAAGAGCTGAGCGCTCAAGGGTAAGGTTGGCAGAAGCATCAGCTAGGAGAGAGAGGCAGAGGGGAAAGAAATAAGGCAGGAAAGCGCAAATCTGAAAGCTTGGGGGACAGAGAGGGCTCCAGCGGGAGAGCTGTTGAAGCCAATAGGGGAACAGGCAGGCAGGCACACGTGCACGAACCATCTCCATTTCAGGTAATATTAAGGACTACAGGGGCACTGATCAGCAGAAACGTGCAGGAATCAGAGACACTAGGCTAGTTACCTGCTTCCAGAAAAGAAAGGGGAAAAAAAGAGAAAAGAAAATGGGGGAAAGAAGATGAGAGGAAAAATGAGGGAAGAGAAGAGGGAAAAGACGAGAAGAAAGAGGGAAAGGAATAACAGAATAGGGGTTTTTGCTTTTTTGTTAAAGAAAAAACGGTTTCCTCACTCTTTGAGGAGTTGGAAGCACCATTTATGCGAGTTAAAATGATTATTAACTGATATTCAGATTACACTTTTAGGCTTTCAAAGCCCTTTATACAAACAGTATCTTCTTTGGTCCCTTTAACAGCTCTGAGGTTGGTTCTATTTTTATCCCTATTTGATCCATGTGGAAACTGAGGCTCCAGGAGGTTAACGGATTTGCTCCTAGTCATAGCTAGCAAGCATCTGGGGTGGGATTTGAATCCGGCTCTATCTGACTTCAACTCTGGAATGCTATCCACCACTTTTAATACCTATGATCTTACCAGTAGGGAAAACTAGATCATTCTGAATGCAGGGGAACTCAGGCAAATTACCATGCCAATTTATTAATGACACGAAATACCTAATGAGTCTCACCTAGGACTAGTAGAGGCATTGGAAGAATCTGACTTATTCTCTAACTCCCTCCACCCCCTGGCAACAGGTGTGGGAGACAGAGAGACAGAAAGTACCACCATTCAAACTTTATAAATGGAAGCCCTGATACGCAGCTTGCTCAAGGTTTAGCAGCAAGGAAAGAAGAGGACTTGGACCAGGAGCAGGTCTCTTTGCACGTAGCCCAGTGAATTATCCACATGTGATCATTTATTTAGCAAGCAAATTAACTTCTTCTTAAAAAAAGTATTAGCCTAAAGTACTCTTTTGAGACCAACGTCATAAGCATTGTTCAGTCTTTTCAGTTGTGTCTGACTCTCCATGACCCCATTTTGGGGTTTCCTTGGCAGAGACACTGAAGTGATCTGTCATTTCCTTCTCTAGATCGTTTTGCAGAAGAGGAAACTGAGGAAAACAGGGTTAAGTGACTTGCCCAGGTTCACATAGCTAGTAACTGTCTGAGGCTGGATTTGAATGACTTTGCTGACTTTGGGTTCAGCACGTATGGTTTTGGTGATGGAAGGGAAGGTCTGCTATCCAAGGGCCAATCTCACTAAGCTCAACAGGACCTCATCAGGAAGTTTCTCAGAAAGTGACGACGTTTTTTTGGCCTCAGCAGCTCTTGAAAATCACCTACCAAATTACAGAGGGGAATCAGTCTTAGTGGAGGGCGTGTACCCATGAGGTTGAAATCATGGATCCCTAACGCATTGAAGCTGTACCAACTGGTCCCAAAGAAAACTGCCAAACTGGTTTCCTGGGTAAGCCAGAAAAATTGGTGAGTTTTGTGCAAAATGCGGGGCATAAATCAATGAGAAAACCCAAGCTGACAATGGATCTTGACAGTCCTAGCAGGCTAAGGAGTTAAGAAAACTATGTCCCCCAGGGTCCTGACACATCAGTGTTTTCTAGAATCCATGGCTCCCTCACTTCCCGGCATTGCACTCCTCCCACCCCCATCTCCCGAGCCCAAGGCTAAGCATTAATTCTAACAGCCCTCAACCATTATTCCTTCCTGGCAGTTTGCCCTTAATTTATTTCATTCCCATCAGTTCTCTGACCACTGAATAAAAAGCCCATTTTCAGCGGCATTGTTATTAACGGTATAAATCTTTGCAAAATCAGATTCACATGCCAAGAACAAACAGGTAGCTTTTCAGTTTCCCTAGGATGACTGGAGTGGGGGAAGGGTTGCATCCCAAGGGAAGGAAAAGGAAAAAGGACAGGACCTCGAGAAGGTGGGAGTAAGAGTAAGGAAGAGCTTCAAGGGTTTACCTTGAAGAGGACTAAGGTCGGCTCCAGTAGGAACTTTGTGTATAGATCAGAATCTCTAGGCCAGGGGTTGTTAACCTTGCTTGCATTCATAGATCATGTTAGGCAATCTGGTGAAAGCTATGGAATCAATAGGTTTCCCTTCTTAGAATAATGTTTTTAAATGCATAAAGCAAAATACATAGGATTAAAAAGGAAATAAATTATATTGAAATGTGGATATCAAAATATATTTAAAAACAACAACAACAACCAGAACCCAAAAGCAAACCCACTGAGGTTAAACATCTCAGGTTAAAGACCCCTGCTCTAGACCATTTGAAAAGATGAGCCAGCTTGGCCGCTCTGGGCCTCAGTTTTCTCACCTGTAACCTGGAGGGGATGGACCAGAGGATCTCTGAGGTCCCTTCTGGCTCTGGATGAGCCCACGACCACAGACTTAGAGCTGAAAGGAGTCTCGGAAGCTTTATAGTCCAACCCCCTCATCTTCCAGATGAGGAAACTGAGACCCAGGGAACTCAAGAGACTAGGCCACGGTCATCATAACATTCTCAGGACTATAAATTAAGGGGGGAAAAATTTCCTAGCTACAAGTATACCCTGCTTGAAGTAGGCCATCAATTGTGTGGGCAGGACAGTGATATAAGAGATTTACTATACAGTAACTTCCTACCTATTTAGAATATGATTTTATTTACCCCCTTCCCCCCAACCAATGTATACATAAGCATCTGGAAATGTGTCTCTAGGATCATTCAATCAATGAAGAAGCATTGAAGCATTAAGCTCCATCTGTGTGCCAGGCACTGTGGGCACTGGTGTTGGGAATGCAAGTACAATGAATGACATAACCTCTGTTCACAAGGAGCTTACACTCTAACGGGGGAGACAGAAGGTATGGCTATAAATACATACAAAGGAAGTATAGGGGAACTGGAGTGGGAGGGGGAAGATGCTCGAAGCTTGGGAGGGATCAGGAAGGTGACATTTGAATGAAGCTCTGAAGAGAGCTACAGATTTTAAGAGGCAGAGGTGAAGAAAGAGTGCATTCTAGTCATGGGGGCATCCACGCAAAGGCACCGAGGTGGGAAATGGGAGCATTGTGTGGGAGGAAGAGCAAGAGAGTTGGTAAGAACGTGTGAAAGTGGAATATTGTGTGATAATGCTAGAAAGGGAGGCTGGAGCCACATCAAGAAGGCCTTGAAATGGCAAATCAATCAGTCAGTAAGCATTTACTGAGCACCTGTTATGTACCAGGCACTATTCTAGGCACAAATAGAGGAGTTTGTATGTGACTCTAGATCCCTAGGTATTTGCCCCAAGAGTATATTGTAGGACCAGGGGCTAGACATCTGCCCTTGTACGTATGTCACACCCTCTTCCCTCCCACCCATTCCTTTCCATCTCTTTCTTTCTCCAGGAATGATAACCAAAACAACACTACTTCAGTTATTGTGGAGGGCAAGACAATGTCCTGCACTCTGTGCTCCCAGGATTCCAAGCCCCATCCCACCATGGATATGGTAGGCTCCCTGAAACTGAGATTATGTTATTTCTTTTCTTTGTATCTCCAGTCTGGTACAGTGCCTGGCACAGGGTGGGCACTTAATAAGTGCCCGGCACAGGGTGGGTGCTTAATAAGTGCTTGGAGACTAGAATTAAATCGAGAAAGGAACATGTGACAGGTTTAGTTACAGACTTGTCTGTCTCAGCCAAAATTTAATTAGGATTCAATCCAGATCACCTTCCTCTGATGCCTCAGATGTGTAGTTACCTGCGCAGCCCCAAAGGCTATGCTCAGGCTATGCCTGAGCTCTAGAAGATCCTATGAGCTGAGAAAACTCCATGTATTGGCCTATAACCCAGACTCTGGGCATTCCAGAACTTGTCTAGACAAATTTCAAGAGGCTCCTTATGGGATTAGCCCAGAGTGATGGATTTCCAGTAAATCCAGTGATGATTTCTACTACTCTGCATGTGACCAGATCTCAAGACCTTTTACCATCCTGGCTGTCCTCTTGTTTTCTCTTACATACCAATGTTCTGTTCTGGACCTCAGGCTGGCTTGAAATGACCATCTATGCTTCACCCTCTTGATCTTAATTGCAATTCTCTGGGATCCTCTCGGATCACCCTGATTCTTATCTTAATTCGGTTTTAATTTTTGAATTAAAAAAATTATAAATATGCTCTGAGACCAAATACAGTTGTTTGGATTGGAATAATCTAGTCTGAAAATGATCTTGAGGAATGGGTTTAGAGCAGGGGTGGAGAACCTGCGGCCTTAGGGCCCCATGTGGTCCTCTAGATCCTCGATTCAGTCAAAGGGCCACACTTGAGGACCTAGGGGGCCACAGGTTCCCCACTCCTGTCCTAGAGTCTGGGAAGAGGAAACCCAACAAATCCTGAGTACAAGTGGGACCAGAATGCAGCTTTCTACCCCAAAGAACTCAGACATGTTGGTGAAAGTATTAAATTTTTATTAAACAATTAGTATTGGCTCTCCAGGGAGGAAAAAAGTATACATAACATACTTTTAAGTTTAATCTGCATTATTAATATTTTCTAGACAATCGACAAAATCCATCAAGCTGTGATTTGTAGTGTTTTTTGATTAAATTTGACAATTGATTGGAGCCCAGCCAGTGAGAGCCTTCTCCAGCACAACCCTGCCTGGACTATACTTTTCTACCTTCCCTTGAAAGAAAGCCATTTCTTTTCAATGTGAATCAACTTGAGATCTAGCATTACCCTCACCTAATTCAACCTGAACAACCGGTTGGAAATAAATCCATTTTGGCCCATTGATGGCAACAGCCCTGATGACTTGTCCAGCTTTTTCCCCACCCAGTTTAATGGTGGGCCTAGAACTCAGTGGTAGGGGTTCCCCGCACTGGTGCTGTTCACCGGTGGGGGCTCAGGAGTGGAAAGGGCCCTCGCCCACTGGGTCCCTCCCCTATGGGCCCCTTACCTCGCTTCTGCCCGGTGCTGTTGGGACTGGGGTTTTGGTTCCTGCTGGCAGGAGTTTCTAGTCCTGATGACTCAGGCTTGGTATCATAAATACTTGCTGATTTTCTGCTGTACCTTCAGAGAAAGAAAATAGAAGTCAATAGGAGAAAGTAAGACCGACCCCTGCATGTGTACCCTTGGACCTTTATGTAGCATTCCCAAAAGAGTGTCACCACCCAAAAAGCCAGGCTGTATTCAATTCACAGGATCACAGTTTTGGAGCAGAGAAGGGACCTGAGAGACCATCAAAGTCTAACTCCTTCATTTTACAGATGAGGAAACTAAGGCACAGAGTGGTTAAGTGAAGTGACTTGTCCAGGATTATAAACCTAGGAAGTACCAGATCCAGGATTCAAATGTACATTCTCCTGACTCCAGATTAAGCCCATTTTTCATGGTCCCGTGTTGTCTCAATTCAGTTCAGCAAGGACTTATTACCTACCAGGATGTACCAGGCGTTGGGAGTTCAAAGACCAAAAAAAAAAAAAAATTAAATAGTTCTTTGCCTGAGACAGATTACAAGAAGTATGTAGTTACGCAAATTTCCAATCCACTTTATGAAATTATAAGGTGTTAGAAAAATTACCACAGGGATAATTGGTTTGGGGTCACTGGAAGTCTGCAGGCTTTTTGCCCCCTACTCTTTCTTACAGATGACAAATACAACTGCCTGAAGTCTGAAAGAGACATACACTTACATCTCATTACCTCTGCTGCGTCCTACAAATGGGGCCACCTGAAAGGCTTGAGGGGGCTGAGAACCTCACAGACTTCGAAGTCTGATACCCTGTAATTTCATCAAGTTGACTGAGGGCCTCAATGGATCTGGAGATCCTTTCATCACAGCCCCCTCCCCGAATATACACACAAAATAAATAAATACAAACTATTTGGGGTAGCATTAGCAATAGGGGGAATTAGGGAGAGGCTTCCTGTAAGAGGTGGTACTTGGCCTGAACATAGGAGGGAGTTCTACAAGACAAGGGAGCAGGATTGAGGGATAGGCTGGGCTTCGGTGTGGTGATGGAAGATGGAGTGTCAGGTATAGGACGAGGCTGGTCCGGCTCAAACATAACATTTACAAAAGGGCAGGATGGGTAATCAGACTAGAAAGATGTGCTGGAACCGGACTGTGAATCACAAGCACGCTGAACTAAGGGGTGACTTTGTGGGCCCCAGTTATCATTGACCTAGGGCAGTGAGGAGACAGCATTAAACAATGCTATGTCTGGCACAGAAGATGGCTGAGGCAAACTGTCCGTTTCTGACACTTACTGTTGCCTTTACAGTGTGTTTCCTCGTTCTACCTGGGGCTGACTTGAATGGCTTTTGACCATTGATCCAAATGCAGATCTCTGCCTTACCCAGAAGAACTCAGGCTTGTCAAGAAACAGCATCATGCTGGGGCTGTTCCCTTTGTTCCCGAGAGGCCCCCCTCTCTTAGGGCCTCGTTAACTGTCCCTACATTGGGTCTATGCTCTGTGGAGGCAGAAATCTGACAATATCAGCACTGAAATCCTGAGATTCTTGTATGAATGGGCACAAGTGGAAACCTAACATTACGGGTGCCCAAAACAAGGGGCAAGGGCAAATGAGACTCTGTCTCCCCACTGCCACTTCTACCCTCTCTGAAACAAAATGGGAGTTTATTCAGCCTGTGATGACCAATAATAAGAATGACAGTTAGCACTGATGGAGTATTTTAAGAATTTCGTGCAAAGCACTTTACAAATACCATCTCATTTGATCCTCATTAAAAACCCTGGGTGGTAGGCGCTATTACTATCCCCATATTACAGATGAGGAAATTGAGGCAGACAGAATTTAAGTGGCCTGCCCAGGGTCACATAGCTATCTAAGGCTGAACTTGAACTCAGTTCTTTCTGATTACAGGGCACTCAGCGGCTTCTATGCTGTGCGATGAAGAGGTTGGAATAAACCAGTGAGAAAAACTTTTAGGGGAGTGATTTAAAATGTTAGGAGACTAAACAGTAAATTAACTACTCTTTAATTTTAGGTGGTACAGAATGGGGTTAGGAAGACACCCATGATGTAATAGAAAAATCATGAAGTCAAAGGACACGAAAAATAATTTAAAAAATAAGAAATATACTTCTTTCACAACATGACTAATGTGAAAATGTTTAATGTGATTGTACATATACAAGCTATATCAGATTGCTTACCATCTTGGGGAGGCAGGGAGGGAAGGGAGGGAGAAAAAAATTTGGAACTCAAAATCTTGTAAAAGTAAATGTTGAAAACCATTTTTACATGTAATTGGAAAAAATACTATTAAGTGGAAAAAACAAGAAATATAATGACATGAAAACACACTTCAGGTCACTGATGAGAGATCCCCCCAAAATCTTAAACTGCCAATTTGGCAAAGATGATAAAAGATGGAAAGAAGTAATGTTGGCAGCACTGTGGACAGACAAGCAGACTCCTATGTAGTCAATAGGAGCATGAATTGATCCACTTCTTTGGGGGGGGGAATTTAGAATTATATGAGAAAAGTAGATAAACTCTTTATACTCTTTGACCCGATGATTCTACTATAAGTCACATACCCTAAAGCAATCAAAGACAGAAAGAAAGGCCTATAGCTAACAGATATTCATAGCAGCACTTTCCCTGGTAGCAAAAACCTAGAAATAAAGTAAATGCCTATTGATTGAGGAATGGCCAGATGTGTTGTGAGATATGAATGTCACGGAAAATGATTATGCCTAAAGATGACAAAAGATGGCTAAAGCCAGTGCCGGAAGGGAAAGACTGACACACCATTCAGGGAGCTGTGTGTTGATCCAACTATTTTGGAAAACAATTTGGAAGGATGCCAGAAAAGTGATTGTCAATGCACTTTGACCCAGCAATGCTCTATTGCTGGGCATATACCCAGAGAAGGTCAAAGACCAAATGAAAGGTCCATCATCATCATCATCATCATCATCATCATCATCATCATCACCACCATTATCACTAACATATATATAGCCCTACTATGTGCCAGGCATCATGATAAGTGCTTTACAATTACTATCTCATTTAATTCTCACAACAACCCTGGGAGGTAAGTGCTGTTTATTATCCTCATTTTTGCAGATGGGGAAACTGAGGCAAATGGGGGTGAAGTGACTTGCCCAGGGTCACATAGCTAGAAAGTATCTGAGGTTAGAATGGACTTAGGTCCTCCTGATTAAAGAGTAGTTAATTTTGTGTTTAGTCTCCTAACATTTTAAATCACTCCCCTAAAAGTTTTTCTCACTGGTTTATTCCAACCTCTTCATCGCACAGCATAGAAGCAGCTGAGTGCCCTGTAATCAGAAAAAAGCAGTACCTTTTTTTTTTTGTGGTAGCAAAAGGACTGGATACAAAGCGGATGTTTCTTGGACAAGATTTCAACCTGGAAGAGGTGGTTTAAAGCCAAGGGGTCCCTGTCCCACGTGGAAGGGTAGGGGAAGCAATTAAGAGGTCATTGGCAATTTTGCAGAAAATAGTTTCAATTGAATGATGAGTTTGGAAGCCAGGCTACAAAGGTTCAGAAGTGAGTCAGGGAAGAGCAAGTAGAAACAGCAACACCAGACAGCTTTTTGAGGAAGTTTAGCCGAGAATGGAAGAAAGATAGGATAATACCTTGAGAGGACAGTAGGAGGTAATGGACATCTTTTTAAGGACAGGAAATACTTGGGTAACTAGTTTACAAGGAGAGGTCAAAGATTTGAGAACAAGAGGATAATTGAGTTTGCCGAGAGAACGAGATCAGACATACACGTAGAAGTGTTAGCCTTGGTAAGGAGAAAGGCCACCTCTTTGTCAGAGACTGGGAGAAAAGAGAAAGGAAGGAGAAAGGAGATGAAGTAAATCGGTTTTGAGATGAAGAAAATAGAAGAGGGAGCCCATATGGAATGACCTCAATTTTCTCAATAAAAGAAGGTTCACGGTCCTTAATTGAGAGAGAGAGAGAGAGAGGGAGACAGAGAGAGAGGAGACTGGGAGTTATGGGAAACTTGAGGAGAGACACGAAGGTTTGGAACAGCTTCTGCGGAGAGTAAGATAGGGAATCAATTAGGGAGGAATAAAAGGACTCCCTTGCTGCAGTGAGGGTTCAGATGAAATTGGATAACACGAATTTGTAACATGAATTTATATGCTCACTTAGCATCATTATGTAACTTCCTCCAGAGTCAGTTGGCAGCTCATGAATAGCAGCAGAGGAAGTGGGTGGTAGGCATAATCCAGAGCTGAGATTTGGAAGACTGGTGGTATCTGAGGTTTAAGGGAACTGAGGAATTGGGAGGCTGGGGAGTTTGAGGAAGCATCAGTGTGAACATTGAAGTTTCCCATTACAAGAGCAGAAGCTGGGGAGGAGAAGAAGATGGTGAATCAGATGCAGACTGTCTTGTGAAAGGATGGAGAATGAGCTGAGGGTCAGTATATAAAAGCTGCCATGATGTGGACTGGGTGGAAGTTTTTGATGGCACGGATTTCAAAGGTGGAAAAGATACTGAGTGATGGTGGTAAACAGAGAGTCTGGAAGTAGGAAATAAGGAATATCTGACTTCTCCTTTAGGACCAGCAATTTAGGGTTATGAGAGAAGATGTGACTGCAGACGCTGGTCCAGTATAGACAGCATGAAGGCAGGGCTCAGACAGGGTTTTTAGATGGAAGGAGTGTGAAAGAAAGATTTGGGACCAAGAAAAGTTTGTTTATTATGGAAGTGGAATTTCAAAGAACAGAGTAGAAGGGTGGGTAGAGTTGGGATGGTACATGGGTGGGGTAGGTTTGAGGAGGATGAGAGAAGGGGAGGTTGGGGTTGGGGGCACTTTGCTTCAGTCATTGATTATTACAGTGATAGAGAAATGGGAGAAGCCAGAGAGGTAGTAATGAGTGACGAATGAATAGTAAGCTCCTAATCTCCTAAGGATGGAGCAGAGGGTGCTGGGCTAGACTTAGGACAGGGAAGCCCCTGGACTGCTGCTGTGATTTCTCTTCCCCTCAGGGAGCTGAAGGAGGGGAGGAATGGTGGGGGGTAGTAGGCAGTAGTATATAGAATTCCTCACATGAAGCG